TGTAATACTAAGTATTACTAAAGCTGTTAAAAGTGAGAACTCAATTAAAGTTGCTTAAAAAGACTTATTTAAAGTTGCTTTAATAGTAAAAAAAAACATTAAAAAAAAAGATTAATCACTTCTTTTCAAAATCAACTCGTATTATATATAATAACGTGATCGCTAAAATAACGATGAATTATTAGATTAAACTGATAGTTATATTAGATAATAAGATTGCTGTAATAGAACTATTATTAATTAAAAAGGCTTTAAAAGATGAACTCGAAGAGTAAAAGAAAAGTATAAGAGCTGAGTTTAAAGCAATTCGAAACGTTAATATATTAAAAATCATTTTAAAAAGACTTCTTTTCGGCAGAAAACTTACTTCTTCGAGACTCGTATTACGTAATAAAGTTATTAATAATAAAGTCGTTCGTAAAAAAGCAAAGCTAGTCTTAAAAAGATACGAATAAAAAAAAGGAATTAATTATTTTAAGACTTTTGCTTTAGTAATTAAGTACATTACACTTTAAGTACTATTCGCTTTCGCTGCTTTTAAGGATTTTAAAATTGATCTCGTCGATATCGATACGGCTTTCTTAAACGCAACTTTTAAAGAAGATATATATATGCATATACCGGACGATGAATGCGATATTTTCTACGATATATATCTCGAATTGCGAAGCAAACTAGCTTATATTAAGCTTATTAAATCACTTTACGGTTTAAAACAAATATTTAAAAAGTAGTAGCTCTTTGAAGTGCTTACTAACACTAAGATCAAGAAAAGATTCTGTAGATTGAATAGAGCTTGGTATATTTTATCTAAGAAGCTCGTCAGGATCTATGTATATGTACTTAAGAGCTTTAATATGCTAAGGGCGCTATTAAGCGAGGTTATATAACATGTTATATATAGCGTAAGTAAAACTTTAAGTATATTTGTTCCGCATAACATACCTTATAAGTTAGCAGAGTAGCTGCTAAGTTGTAAGCAAATAAAAAAGAAGAAAAAAAATAAGTGATTAAGCTTTTTAAACTCGATGTAAATAAAAAAAATTGTTATCGCAGTTTAAAACAAATAAATAGCGGTTTTTATTATTGATTAAGTGTTAGTTAAGACTGCAATTCTTTTTTAACTCGGTCTTATTACGTAGCGGAGGTCTTTAGCGCCGTCTTTATCGCGTTGCTATATAAGTGAGAGCGCGTTTCTTTTTATTATAATAAACACTTAACCTCTATTTATTTATATAATGCTTTTTAAGCAAGCAACTTAGTTTAATAGAATCGTTAAGCGCGGCCGAAGCCGTTTACGAGTAAGTGCTTTTAATAGATTAATATCTTTATACTAATTATTAAAAGAATCTTTTGTTTGCTTTAGCTATTGCTATTGTTATAGCTGCTGTTGATTTATAATCATTACTTTGCCTAGAATATTCTAAGGTGTTGATTTGTAATCAGCACTTCTAGAACTTTCTAAGCGAAGTCAAGTAACTTACCAGAACTTTCAAGAACATTCTACTTGATTTTGATTTGTAATACTATTACGTATTCTATAAGTCATATAGAAGGCTCTAGAACTACTTAATAGTCTATATAAGACCTTGAAAGGTCTTTTGTATTTACTTTAAGCAAGTAAGCAAAAAGCAATTTGGACTCGTCTTTTCTTTACTTTAATTCCTTATTCAAATTTCATATAGTAGCAATTTAATTTCGATACTTTAAGCATCAAATTCTCGCTTAGCACAAAACCTTTTCGCTAACTCTTCGAGAACCTTCGACGAAATTGTTTAGCGAAACCTTAAGCAAGCAAGCAAAAAGCAATTTGGACTCGTCTTTTCTTTACCCCAATTCCTTATTCAAATTTCACATGGTAGCAATTCACCTTACGTCAAAACCTTTGATTCTGCTAAGCTCGGGGCGGAATAACGTCCTTCCGGTCGATTACAAAAGCGAGCCTTATAAGCTATAAGCTTCCGCCTTTTTTTTGTTCTAGCTTTCGCGAGAGAAAAGCTAGTATTTTGCTTAAAAGTAAGCTATACTCCTTTGGGCCTTATTAACCAATTAAGATTTGTACCCAATCATTGAAGCTCGAGTCCCTGAGACTAAGTACTAGCGAAAGCATAAGCTAGTACCTCTAGAAGTAATAGGAGAGCAAATTGCGGCCTTAAACTACGGTTTAGGCACTATTACTTAGTTTCTTATACCAGGGTGCCTAAACTTACGCGGCAATATAAGTATTGAACCTCTTATTGTGGCTAGCGGTAGGGAGTGGCTATTAGACTGATCTTAATTCATACTAGCTTATTGATTTTCGGTTATATCGCTATTAAGAAGCCATCCTCGGAGAAGGAATAACGATTAGTCCGAAAATCAATAATACTAGGCGAGCTGAAATTAATAGTTTGATTGATTTATAAACGAGTTTTTTAAGAAAACTGAAAACCTTTTTTATAAATCTAATTGAGCGAAAACTTCGGCAATAATAATAACTTCCGGCGAGGAGTTTTATTACTGCACTAGGCCAAAGGTTCTATTCTCTATTATAAGACTAGTTTGCAGGTTAGTTAATAGAAGAATATATATATATATATATATATATATATATATATATATAAATATATATAATAATAGAATATATTTCTATTAAAAATCCGCAATCAAGATGGCTAGCTCTTTTAAGGGAGATAAATTAATTGGTAAATCAAATTACTAAGAATGGATTACTCTCGCAAATCTCTATTTAGAGATTAATGGCTATATGCCTTATATTGATAGCTTTAAAGAAAAGCCTAATAAAGAGCTTTATTACGCTAAAGCTAAGAATAGTGAGGGAGCTATTACTTGGTCCTCTTATTCACTTGAGCTAGCCGTAAAATATCTTGATAAATTGAGCGAATTCGAAGAAGCTAATAAAAATGCTTTAAGAGCGCTAAAATCTATTATATCGCTTGAAAATCAAAAGCGATTTAAAGATAAAACTAGCGCTGAGGATCTATATGACGTTATAAATGAGACTTATAGCGATACAAAGCTAGAAGAAGTAAATCGACACGTATATAAAATAGTCGAAACAACTTATAGCTCTTGTAAAAATATAAATGAATATACTAGTATTATTCAATCTAATGCAATTTATCTTAAAGAGATGAATTGTGAGATTCCTAAGCTAGTATTAGCTAGCCTTATATTCAAGGGTTTACTTAGCTCTTTTGATAGCTTCGCTTCTAGAAAATTTAAGGAAATATCTAGTAACCTTAAAAAGGTAAATATCGATTCGCTTATATCTGATTTATTATCAGAAGAGGCCCGAATAGGTACTAGCGCGGATTTAAAAGCAAATAAAGCGTTTAAAAATAACGCTAAATATTGCTCGCATTATAAGCAAAAAGGGCATTTAAATTCAACTTGTTTTAAATTGCACCCCGAACTAAAGCCGAACTTTAATAAAAAGCTTAATAATAAGGTTATATCGGCTAAGGATAAAGACTTCAAGAATGGCTTTAGTAAAGCACTAATGAGTGCTTTTACTAATTCTAGCTCTAATAGTGAATTAAATCACTTTGGCATAGCTTATTCTATTACGAATAATAATGAATTCGTATTAGATTCAGGAGCCTTAGAGCATTATTCGCTTAATAAAGCTTGGTTTATAAATTATAAGCCAATAGCTTAGAAGTCTATAATTATCGCTAATGGCGATATTATGCCTATTCTAGGCATAGGTGATATCCCTATTAAGTCGAAAACTGTTGATTTATAATCATTACTTTACTTAGAATATTCTAAGGTATTGATTTGTAATCAGCACTTCTAGAACTTTCTAAGCGAAGTCAAGCGACTTACCAGAACCTTTAGGAACATTCTATTTGATTTTGATTTGTAATACTATTACGTATTCTATGAGTCATATAGAAGGCTCTAGAACTACTTAATAGTCTATATAAGACTTTGAAAGGTCTCCTGTATTTACTTCAAGCAAGCAAGCAAGCAAGCAAGCAAAGCAATTTGGACTCGTCTTTTCTTTACCCCAATTCCTTATTCAAATTTCATATGGTAGCAATTCAATTTCGACACCTCAGGTATCAAATTCTCGCTTAGCACAAATCTCTCAACCTTAGGCATCAAATTCTCGCTTAGCGCAAAACCTTTTCGCTAACTCTTCGAGAACCTTCGACGAAATTGTTTAGCGAAACCTTAAGCAACCTTACGCCAAAACCTTTGTTTAGCGAAACCTTAAGCAACCTTACGCTGGAACCTTTGATTCTGCTAAGCTCGGGGCGGAATAACGTCCTTCCGGTCGATTACAAAAGCGAGCCTTATAAGCTATAAGCTTCCGCCTTTTTTGTTCTAGCTTTCGCGAAAGAAAAGCTAGTATTTTGCTTAAAAGTAAGCTATACTCCTTTGGGCCTTACTAACTAATTAAGATTTGTACCCAATTATTAAGGCCCGAGTCCTTGAGACTAAGTACTAGCGAAAGCATAAGCTAGTACCTCTAGAAGTAATAAGAGAGCAAATTGCGGCCTTAAACTACGGTTTAGGCACTATTACTTAGTTTCTTATACCAGGGTGCCTAAACTTACGCGGCAATATAAGTATTGAACCTCTTATTATGGCTAGCGGTAAGGAGTGGCTATTGGACTGATCTTAATTCATACTAGCTTATTGATTTTCGGTTATATCGCTATTAAGAAGCCATCCTCGGAGAGGGAATAACGATTAGTCCGAAAATCAATAATACTAAGCAAGCTGAAATTAGTAGTTTGATTGATTTATAAACGAGTTTTTTAAGAAAACTGAAAACCTTTTTTATAAATCTAATTGAGCGAAAACTTCGGTAATAATAATAACTTCCGGCGAGGAGTTTTATTACTGCACTAGGCCAAAGGTTCTATTCTTTATTATAAGACTAGTTTGCAGGCTAGTTAATAGAAGAATATATATATATATACATATATATATATATAAATATATTTATTAATAGAATATATTTCTATTAAAAATCCGCAATCAAGATGGCTAGCTCTTTTAAGGGAGATAAATTAATTGGTAAATCAAATTACTAAGAATGGATTACTCTCGCAAATTTCTATTTAGAGATTAATGGCTATATGCTTTATATTGATGGCTTTAAAGAAAAGCCTAATAAAGAGCTTTATTACGCTAGAGCTAAGAATAGTGAGGGAGCTATTACTTGGTCCCTTTATTCACTTGAGCTAGCCGTAAAATATCTTGATAAATTGAGCGAATTCGAAGAAGCTAATAAAAAGGCTTTAAGAGCGTTAAAATCTATTATATCGCTTGAAAATCAAAAGCGATTTAAAGATAAAACTAGCGCTGAGGATCTATATGACGTTATAAATGAGACTTATAACGATACAAGGCTAGAAGAAGTAAATCGATACGTATATAAAATGGTCGAAACAACTTATAGCTCTTGTAAAAATATAGATGAATATACTAGTATTATTCAATCTAGTGCAATTTATCTTAAAGAGATGAATTGTGAAATTCTTAAGCTAGTATTAGCTAGCCTTATATTCAAGGGTTTACTTAGCTCTTTTAATAGCTTCGCTTCTAAAAAATTTGAAGAAATATCTAGTAACCTTAAAAAGGTAGATATCGATTCGCTTATATCTGATTTATTATTAGAAGAGGCCCGAATAGGTACTAGCGCGGATTTAAAAGCAAATAAAGCGTTTAAAAATAACGTTAAATATTGCTCGCATTGTAAGCAAAAGGAGCATTTAAATTCAACTTGTTTTAAATTGCACCCCGAACTAAAGCCGAACTTTAATAAAAAGCCTAATAATAAAGCTATATCGGCTAAGGATAAAGACTTCAAGAATGGCTCTAGTAAAGCACTAATGAGTGCTTTTACTAATTCTAGCTCCAATAGTGAATTAAATCACTTTGGCATAGCTTATTCTATTACGAATAATAATGAATTCGTATTAGATTCAGGAGCCTCAGAGCATTATTCGCTTAATAAAGCTTGGTTTATAAATTATAAGCCAATAGCTAAGAAGTCTATAATTATCGCTAATGGCGATATTATGCTTATTCTAAGCATAAGTGATATCTTTATTAAGTCGAAAACAAGCTTAGAGATTATAATTAAAAACGTCAATTATATTCTTAAGCTAAAAACGACCTTAATAAGTTCAAAAGAGCTTACAAATAAGGACTGGGCTATTAATTTCGATCGAAATAGAGCTAAAATCTCTTATGCTTCTTTTAAACCTTATATTAACGTAAAATGGGCTAATAACGCTTATTTTATAAAGGTCGAAATTAATAATAAATACTTAGAACTTTTATTATTTAAGGTAGATCTTTTTGTGACTATTAAATTAAGCTTTTATCATAAGCGCTTATTGCACGTAAATAAAGATTTTGTTTTAAAAACAATCGATAATAGCGAAGGTCTTTTTAAAGCTATTGAACAAAATCTTGAAAATTGTGAGTCTTGCGTAAGTGGCAAAATTACTCAAATGAATAGTAAAAAGCTTATGTCAGACTCACCCCTTTTAACTGCTTTCGATATAGATATAGCAGGGCCTTTTAAAATTAAAAGCTTATTAAGGGAACGATTTTTCGTTACTTTTACGTGCAGAGGTTCTAGAGCCATTTGGCTATACGCTTTAAAATTTAAAGCTGACGTATTCGATCGATTAGTTGAATTTTATAATATAATTAAAACTCAATTCGATCGAAAACTTAGCTTTAATATAAAGGTATTTAAATTAGATAACGCAAGAGAATTCACTTCGAATAAATGGATTACGTTTTGCAAAAGCAAAGGTATAATTTGCGAATATACTAGTCCTTATTCACCTTCTCAAAACGGCATAGCCGAACGATTAAATCGTTACTTAATTGAACGCTTAATAAGCGTATGTAAGGATAGAGATATACCTCTATTTTTATAGCCTTAATTATTGCAAGCAATAGCTCATATAAAAAATCGGTCTTATAACTCGGTTATTAAAAAGACCCTTTACGAAGCTCTTTACGGCCAAAAGCCTTATATAGGCTACTTTAAAATACTAGGTTCTCTAGCTTATATATTAAAAAATAAGCGAGACAATAAATTGGCCGATAAAGATGAAAAGGGGCTATTAGTTGGTTTCGAATCAGCTAATAATTACTTGATCTACTTCTCGAGTAAAAGAGTCGTAATTAGTTCAAAAAACGTTTTTATTAAAGAAGACCTTAAATTTAAGGACGAATTAATTAACGAAAAGAGCGATTATTTCGATATAATCGAAGAAGAGTTACCTTTTACTAAAGGCGATGATGATTTTACTACTAGTATTAAATCAATCGATAATACTAGTAATAATCAGCCGAATATTAGCTAGTTAAGAGTCGTTGAAATAGAAGAAGCCGAAGATCAACCTTATTTTGATGATACTGAATCTCGCGCTAGCGATGCTTTTAGTGATCTAAATACAGATGATCTTAATAAGGTTACCGTAGAAGCGCCTAAGGCTCTTAAAACTCGGGGCCCGGCGAAAGATTACTCCGATCAAAGACCAAACGTAATTACTAGATCGAGTAAAAATAACTCTTTTAATTTAGCTATTACAGAGCTAAATAATCGATTAATCGAAGAGCAAATACAAGCTATGTCGGTTTACAAGAACGTAACTCTTTTAGCTTTAATGGCTTTAATTAGCTTTAAAACTGATCGAAATCTCGATCAAGGGCTAATTAAATTAGGCGATAAAAATAATTTTAAAGTAACTATTAAAAAATCTTCTATTAGCACTCCGCTATTAGAGCTTAAAAGCTATAAGGAAGCTATAAACTCAGCCTTATATAAGGACTACTGGCTTAAATCTATGCAAAATAAAATAGATTTATTAGAAAGCTAAAATACTTGGAAAGTAGTCAATAAAAGCGCTAGCAATAATATTAAACCCTTAAAAACTCGATGGGTTTATAAAATCAAGCAAAGTACCGATACTTACGAATTTAAATCAAGGTTCGTAGCTAAGGGGTTTGAGCAATTATATGGCTTAAACTATATAGATACCTTTGCTAGCGTTGTCAAACAAATGGCTTGGCGCTTAATTTTTGCGCTAGCTGTTTTATATGGCTGGTTTATATATAAAATCGATATGATATCAGCTTTTACTTAAAGCGATATTGACTTAGAGCTATATATAATTCCTTTAATAGGAATCAATAGCTTTAAATACGCGAATAAGCTATTAATGCTTAATAAAGCATTATACGGACTGAAACAATCAGCTCGCTTATGGTTTATCACGTTAAAAGAAGTGCTTATATAAAAATTCAGCTTTACGCCTTTATTAGCTGATAGCTGTATTTTGTATAATAACGAGCTAAAATTAATCATTAGCGTTTACGTTGATGATTTAGCACTTATTAGTCCGAATATCGATATAATAAAATCCTTTATTAAAGAACTTCAAAAATACTTTAAATTAAAGGATTTAAGGCTAATAAAAGATTATTTAAGTATCGATATCGAATACGATATTAAGCAAGGCTATATGAAATTAAGCTAAGAATCTTATATTACTAAGATTTTAAATCGTTTCGATATGCTAGATTGCAAGCTTAAACCAATACCAATGAATTCAAAGGCTAAATTAAAGCTTAATCCTAATAAGGCTAGCGCGTCAAAGATCACGTAGTTTCAGCAAGTAATAAGCTGCCTTTTATTCTTGACGCTAGCAACTAGACCTGATATTTGCTACGCTGTAATTAAGCTAGCTCGATTTGCAAGCAATCTTAGCGAAAGCTATATTATAAGTCTTAAAAATATCTTACGATATTTAAAAGGCTCTATAAAACTAAGGCTAATTTATTAAAGAAGCCTTAATAAATTCGTTAGTGGCTATTGCGATGCTGATTACGCTAGAGATATTAGTATAGCAAAATCGACTAGCGGTTTCAACTTTTATATAAGCTTTAGCTTATTTAATTGGAAATTAAAATTACAGAGTATAATAGCTTAAAGCACTATTGAAGCTGAATATATAGCGATTAATTCGGCCGCTAAAGAAGCTGTTTATATAAAGCAACTTCTTACCGAATTAGGCTATTATATGCAAGATAAATTCCTTTTATATACTGATAATAACGGCGCTTTATTACTCGCTAAAAACCCTGTTTTTCACGAGAGAACAAAGTATATAACTATTAAATATCATTATATAAGAGATCTTATAAACAAAAGTATTATAGACCTTGTTTATATAAGAACTTTGAATCAAAAAGCAGACGGGTTTACTAAAGCTTTCGATAAGCTTAAGTTTAACGAATTTGTTAAACAATTGCAACTTTCTTAATCATATTAAAAAATAAATAGATTGCAGGTATAAAAGCTCTGTTTTAAAACTAGCTTTTATAAGAGTTAAAAGGCGCAGTCATATAGTTCTTTTATATATAAGCTCTGATTTAAATCTAGCTTATTAAAGTAATGATTAAAAGGGCGTGTTAATTTATAATCATTACTTTGCTTAGAATATTCTAAAGTGTTGATTTGTAATCAGCACTTCTAGAACTTTTTAAGCGAAGTCAAGTGACTTACCAGAACCTTCAGGAACATTCTACTTGATTTTGATTTGTAATACTATTACGTATTCTATGAGTTATATAAAAGGCTCTAGAACTACCTAATAGTCTATATAAGACCTTGAAAGGTCTCCTGTATTTACTTCAAGCAAGCAAAGCAATTTGGACTCGTCTTTTCTTTACCCCAATTCCTCATTCAAATTTCACATTTCGAACGTTTTCGAACTTAGCCTCGCGTAATCGTAAAGGTCTATTAAGATCGTCTAAAAGAGCTTTTAAATGCTATTTATTTTAAGCTTTTCGTTAACGGTCTTAGTTTTAAAACTATTCGTTATTAAGCTTTGTTATTATTTTTATAATAGACTTCGTTTTTAGCTTGATTTGCTCGATAAAAAGAGCAAGTTCTTTTACGCTAATACGAAGAGCTGCGTATTGTTTTATATTAAAGCGCTTAATAAAGTATTTGTAGTTCGTAATCTATTTTAAAAAGTCGCTACGATTTGTAAGGTTCGTTTTATTAATCAAGAGAACCTCTTTTACTTTGTCGTTTATTATTATAGCAGTTGATTTTGTAACTAAAGCTTTTGAAAATTAATTAGAGTTCTTAAGAATAATAAGTATTAGTTGTAAAGAATAAATATAATTAAAAAAGATAAATTGCAAAATGAAAATTATAGCGAAGTAGCGTTGAAATAACTTATAAAATCCGCTTTCGATTAATTCGGACGTTGTTAAAGATTAATTAAATAGCTCGTAAGTGCGAATATAGCTTTTAATTGTAATGCTTATTAGTATTAAGATCAAGAAAAGATTTTATAAATTAAATGAAGCTTAATATATTCTATTTAAGAAGCTCGTTAAGATCTATGTATATATACTTAAGAGCTCTAGTGTATTAAGGGCGCTATTAAGCGAAGTCATATAATATGTTACATATAGCTTGGGTGGAACCATGCCTGTTCCGCATAACAGTAATTAATATAATAGATTTTTCGTATGCTTTTCTTAATTAACTTTCGAGTAAAGTCCGTTTTATATGTATAACATAAACGTATATAATAGATCAAGAGCATATAAGTATAATGACGTAAGGCTCTTTAATATAAAAAAAGAAATAAAAAGAGTGTAAAAAGAAGGAAAACAAAGAAAACTAAACTTAAATAAAGAAAAAATTAAAAATCAAATTTAAACTCGTCTTTTTTTTACGTATAATTATGCTTTTATAATTTAATCACTTTTTATTGCTTTTTCATTATTGCTTATAAAGACTTTTTCGTATTAGCTTCGTTGCTCTTTCGTAAAGCTAAGTAATCGAATGACAAATCTATTTAAGCGTTTGATTTAAAAGCCGGATTCGGCTATTTTATTTAATAAAAGCTATTTTAAAGATTTTTTTATTTAAAGCTTAAAGCGAAGTAATAACGCTTTAAAAGTGTATCGTACGTAAAACTTTTTTAATCGATTGCTAGCAAATGTTTTATTTAATAAAACCTTGTTTTTTTTAACTTTTTTAACTTGTAATATCTTTTTATATTTACCGACGAAATTTAATAAAAGTTAAGCTATCGAAAATCTAGCTTTTTAACGTTAAATATATTTATTTTGTAAATCGAATCGTGCTTAAAAATTAAGTCATTTACTTTTAAAAGTTTAATTCGAAAGTTTTTTTTATTATTAAAAGCATTTTTTCTTTTTTAACGGCAGCGGGTTTTTTTAAGTATAACTTTTATAATATCTTCGTTTCGCATCCGAAATTAACGTGCTTTTAACTCGATAAGCTTAATACGATTAATTATTAATTCTTAAAATAACGTAGCTTAAGATTAGATTCGAGTTTTAATCGAAAGCATTGCTTTTTTATCGTATATTATATAAAAAAAAGTGAATCCGATAAAAGTATATATCGAAATGCAATTAACGAATAAAACGGCTAGCAATTGCGCAATTTAATTAATGCTTTTAAGCTTATTTAATGCGTTTTTAATTAATTCGTAGCCGCGTTTTATTATTTTATTTGCTTAAAAGTAATACGTCGAGATTACAATTCGATTGATTTTTTAATTATTAAGTAAATTGATTATTTCTTTTTTAAACTCCGAACCTTCGTCGAATATTAATTAAAAGAAAATTTTATAATAATAAATGATATCTTTTTAAATAAACTTAGCTATTAAAAACGAGTCTCGAGTTCGAATCGCTTTCGCTTCGATTTATTTATTTATATTATTTTTAATAATCATTAAGTAGCTTTTATTATTACGTGCAAATAAATAAGTAATATCGATAGCTTAACTTTTTATTAAGCTATTAAATCGAATAAAGTATAATAGTTTTTCGAGCTTATTAGTTGCTCGATGCTAATATTCTTTATAAGTTTTAACGAATCGTTTAACGTTCATATAATATTTATTTTAAAAGTAGCCTTAAAAAATATAATAATAAATTAATTTACGACTTTTATAATTACTTTTATCGTAATAAGTCGTAATAATATCAATTTTAATTAAAGATTTATCGATTATTAATCGAAAAAGAAAGCTTTTCGTCGAAAATCTTTAAAGCTTTTTATCGTTTATTTCGTACTTAATAGCTTTTTTCTTAAATTTACGATATTTTATTTTATTTAAGTTTTTAAGTTTTTATAAAATCGTTAAAAAAATAACTGTTCGAATTGATTTCGAAAAGTATTTAATTAAGTTTAAAAAGCTTTCGTAATCGTAATCGTTATTAAATTCGTTTAAGTTTATATACTCCGCTTCTTTTAAGTATTAAAATATATTTTTAAAAATAAACTAGCTGTTGGATTGCTTCTAAGCGATTGGGAATATATTCGTAACTTCGTAAGGTCGTCAAAGTACTTGCAATTGCAAAACACTCGGTTGATAAAGTATCTGAATTCTGTCTGCTCCCCAAGACTCAGGGGAGCTGATTCCTTCTATATGATTAGAAGGAATCACGTGCCCTAGCTAACTAATAGGTTTACTTGTCAAGTTGGGAGGGTCCCTTGACTGTTGGCATGCTAAGCGAAGCATGCTAAGTGGCCCGTGAACCATGGTTCACGGGTGAGCTTCCCCAACTACTATTACTACTAGCTAGCTAAGGTCGATATAAATATACCGACACCGGCAACTCTCTTTTTAGCAAGCAGTGCCTTGCTAACTACCATATCGACCGAAAAAGAAAGAAGGTAATCAAACAAAGGAAAATCAATCTCACTTTACTAAACCTCACTTTCTTTTCTCTTATAACGGCTTTTCCACCTATCCGTCTACCTGTACCTTCAAGGTATTGGTCAAAACTAGCTTTTGCAAAAAAGTATTAGCCTCGACTTTAATCATAGGGTTAGCAAGGTTAGATTTTCCTTCGATCTAGCGTACTTTAAAAAGCTCCCGCCTCTCGTATGATTCTCGAATAACTATAATATCGATTATTAAGCGCTTCTCTTTAATAGTCCCCAGCTTTATTATACACTCGTAAAGCGAGTAAAAGTCAATGCATACAATTACGAGGAAATTAAGTATTCTTAA